ATGGAGACGTAGAGTGCGGCGGAGAGCAGCTTCGATTTGGGAGTGAAGCTTTGAAGGGCAGAAGGCAGAGTCGCAGGAGAAGAAGAAGAAGACTTCGTTAAACTCGTTTTGTTTCTTAGATTGACTAGAAATTTTCTAGATGTGCAAGGCACGGCCAATGCCCAATTTGCTGTGTAAAATATATTGAAAAATTCCCTATAACTCTCATTTTTAAAATTAATAGAACATGAAAGATCTTAATTGTCGTCATGTTGAGAAACCATGTCCATGTGCAAACTATTAGAGCAGTAGGGTAATTAAAGTAATGTCCATGTCCATGTGCAAAACCAGGGAAACTAATATAACAAGGAAGCTGCAAAATAATTGAAGACTGAGGTATGTTAAAAGTCTTTGTCCCCCCAAGTTAGGATCGGTCCATTGAACAATCCCCTTTCAATGAATCAAGATATGGAACTCAGAAGTGCTTATCTGTGCCAAGAATTAATTAGTGCATGACCAGTTCCTAAAACCAAAATTTAAGCAAAAACCAAATTATATCAAACAAATCATGATTTGAGTGCAGATTCTACTTGTTGAGCCCCAAAACATGTGGAAAATTAGAACCAAGACAGTAGAAGCTGTGGAAATACTCTTTAACTGGTCTTTGGTCCTAACTATGATAGTCACTAACATGACAATTCAGTAAAAGTCAAAAACAATCGATGAAATTAATGTTTCCAGGTTTATCAAAGTATCGTTTCCAATAGAATTTAAAGATAGTTCGAGCCATTGCAAGACATTAAAGGATCATTCAGCATACAAACACAAAGGCAAAAGTAAAATCATTTTTGTTTAGGACCAAACAATAAGCTAAAGAACATTTGTCAAATCATCTAATACTCCATAACAATGGGACACGTAAATTTTTAGAAAACTAAACCAGTGTAGTGGTAAAGCTACCTTTAGAAGCAAATCATCAAACACAAAGCATGCTACTATTGTAAGAGATGAACTTCTTTGAATGTCACATTGTAAAAGCCACCAGAGTTGCTAAGAATTAGACCATAACCGGTCCATATCTACTGTAGCTAAACTGACGCTTTTTATATAGTTAAGTTATATGACGTGACATGACTAGCATTTTAAATCGTGTTATGCACGGGTTTATATTTCAAATCAAAATTATATTGTATATATTTATATATTTTGGTACAAAATAATATATATTATATATATATATATATATATATATAGACAAAATTTTGAAGAAGTGTATGCTTAACATGTTGAAAAAAAATTTACTTTATGAGCAAAAAATGGACTTATTTAATTTTAAAATCTTAAATAACTTCAAGCCAAAACTTGCTTACTTATTGTCTATCAATATCTGAAGCAATTTGAATAAAATAATTTAACTTATAATAATTTACATAATAGAGGAATTGTTAATGCATTTAAGGAGAGGGTTAGGTTAGGTGGTAAGGTCAGAAGAAATTTCTAAAAAAAATTCGACAAAAAATATTATGTTATGCCCATGTATCAAAACTTATAATATAAAAAAATAAATTATAACCAATTTATTTTCTTCGATTTTTAGAAAAAAATTCTTTCTCCTATATACAATATTATTTCAATTTGAAATATAAACCCGTGCATAACACAGGTTAAAATGCTAGATTAGTATCTTGTGTCCCTAAAATTGTTGACTGCATCTAGATTAGTATTTTCATAAACTTTAACATAAATTAAAAAAAATCTTTGTAATATGTGTTTTTAGAGTTTTCAAAATTATTAAAAACCATCATCCTTTCTCTCATCTCTTAAACGATAATGTTACTTTTTAAAATTTTTTGATGGAACTGGTGTTGTTATTATCATTATTTTTATCAAAAATGAATGTTTCAAATAAAAATTTTCACATTAAAAGGCCAGTAGTGCATTGTTTTTTTTAGCAATTTCGTAATTTAGATTTCATAAATGATACCATTCTTTATTTTTTAAATCCACAACCAATGAATATTATTTCCTTTTTATTTTCTATATAATTTGGCCCTTTTAGTTAGGATTACTAAGTTAAAAGATAAAATATTGTCATTTATTTTTTTACTTTTACGAAGTTTGGTAATGTTTTCTCTTTACTTACCCAAATTAAAAAGGCATGAAAGCCACTTCGTAGTATAAGTGGAGCCACCTCTTACTTATTTAAATTAAAAAGGTATGTAAGCCACTTCTTACTTAGAAAAATTTTATTTGCACTCCATTTTTTATTACTTGCACTCCCATCATTTATTTTATCATATAGTCTAATTAATGAAAACTATATGATTAAAATGATTATAAAAGTGTGAATAACAAAAAATGGGACTATAAATAATATTTTCCCTTACTTATTTAAATTAAAAACGCATAAAAGGATGTTATATTTGTTATCTCTTATTATGGTCTTATAGAAGTTTTAATTGGAATAGAATCGTAAATAACACATGCAATCGGGAAATGTGATGAGTTGAAATACGGAAACGTGGCAGTAATTATAAAAAATAAGAGCAGAGCATGCATACTAATTAGATTAAATGGTGCAGAACATGCATACAAATGAGTTAAAATCGCGTTTCAACTGTAAAGGATAACATGCACATGCACATTAACTAATAATTTGAAATGAAATGATTCTAAAAAGCGATCAAGCCTCAACGCTTGGTCGAATCTGACTTTATGGAGCATGATTATTCATCTCCAAATGTTACATTAAATTTTTTCTTTGCTACAGTTTTGAGTTAAAGTGTGACATTTATGCTTTTCTACTTTAATATCAATATGGTATATTGGAACTTATTTGTGTGATGTGTCATAACGTTGTGAAGTCATTTGTATCTTGGGATGGGAAGAAATCTATAAGTCATCAATCAAGTTAGATTTTGTTCTTGTTGTTTTGGATTACAGTAGTTGTACTTCTACTTCCATATTTATGTGAATAGTTGATAAATAGACAAACTTGTCAGATAGTGGGTTTGTTTGGAAAGCATAATTGGGAGGTTATTTGAAATTTTTTTAAATTGGCGTTTGTACTGTGTAAAATAAAAAGTGGGGTTTTTTACTGCGTAGAGTTCCGACATTGGATTCCTTAGGTGCAGCCTTTTGCACTAAAGTCATGCAAACAATTCATTCGCTCACGTGGAGTCTGAATTTTTCAAAGGGCTTTAATAAAAATAACCGTTGGTTGAGGAGTAAAGCCACAGTAAAAGGCATTTACTCCTGAACACAGCACAAAGGCTTCACGAGCTCCTCTGTTCGGGCCTCTCTTCACCATTTTCATCTACCAACAGACGGGAAAGACAGCAGCAATCAAGCGAAGCCTGCGGCGACGTCCGGCAAACAACCAGATTGACTGCGTTTTGAATCTATCGGACGCATTTCACCCTGCCGCGGTCGACACTTCCAACACCCAAGCGGAATTGGGTGCTCCGAGGCCATTCCACTTTCTCCCTATCTACAGCGGCAGGTACAATTCCCTCGATTTACCATTAGCTGCAATTTACATTCCATAAACCTGCGTTGATCTCTCTTTCTAGTTGTCCACGGCTTCATCAGCTGATTATCTCCCTTGGACACCTGATTTTGTGTTGGGTGTGTGCGAAGAGTAGATTTTGTTTATGCTAGATTAAAATCTACTTAGGATTAATTGAACCCGAATCTGAATGAATGGTGGAATAAAGCTGCTCTGGCCTTCCAAATTGGGAGGTTATGAGCATTAAAACTGGATTAACTGGATAAATTGCAAGCAGGGAGATTTATCGTCTTTGGGCTTTTTTCTTATCATGGAAACAAAATATTTAATGGGGAAAATAAAATCTGTCCTGAATTTATTAGGAGGATAAGTCAATGTTAGAAGTTAATTTTGCTTTGGAATATGTCAATTTAAGAAGTAAAATAATTGAAGGTGGACAGAAGTAAAATATATATTATGACCCTTAAAAAAATAAATTCATCACCCTTAAAAAAAATAATTGAAGTAAAATATATTCTATGACGTAAATTAAAGATGGATAGAAGTTGTTTAATAAAAGTTTTGCCGAAAAAATACAAGGGATTTTCACTGCTTAGTTGCATTGGCCTTTGGCAATCAGTTTTCTTTTTTTCCATGATTTCTTTTGCTTTCTTTCCAATTAAAAAGGTTTGCCTCATAACGCACAAGGATTGGATGTGATAGGAAACATAAAATCAAAATATACTGGTTTGCTGCAAAATTTTTAAAGTATTTAAAGTTAAATGTTTAAGCGTCTGGATGCCCAAGGCAGTAATATGCAAAATATTACTGATAATGAGCCAACGAGTCCCTGGATTAATACTTTGAAGTTAGCAGCAAGTTACTTGTCCTTGGCATTGATCATGTTGATTATTATTGAATAATAAACTCATAAGTTGATTATTATTACTTGTCCCTGGATTATTGTAGTATAAGTTGTTTAATGGGATGCTACTTGATAAGTCATAACTCAGACACTTTATGAAGGAATAGAAAAAATGGTTTTGAAGAATACTGAGATGGGACATATACTTGACAACAAAAGTTTACATGAGTGGCCCAGAGAAAAGATTCTTTACATTTTGAGTCTGACCCAGAACAAAAGAAAAAAGAAAAAAAGCAGATGATTTGCACCTTTTCAACCAAGAAATCGTATACGGTGCTTACCACAGCCTGCACAGTTATAGATGCTTGAATTCATAACTTTTGGTTCTGTTGTAAGTCTCATTTGATGAGGTTAGATACATGTCAATTAGGTCATAATCTTATTGTTAGGAGTTAAAAACATGTATTATAGTGGACTGCTAATTTCCAGAATTAACAGACGCATGGGATTTTTTGTTTCACACTGGAATTTGAAAGCTAACATGCTGGGAATTTGTTTGGATGCAAACTCCCATTTGCTGTTTGGATGCATATTTTTTGCAATGAGTTAATAATTTTACTGTCCAGCTGCTGCCATTACGGTTGTTGTGAGGCAGTTCTCTCTTCGGTTATGACCGCTGAGAAGAGGAAGAAGCCTTCTTGTGATTGTATGTCCTTCTACGCTGTATTAGAAAGTAATTTTCGCAGCATATTAATTGGTTAATAATACATTTTGTTCGAATTTTGAAGCCGCACCTGTTAGCTGTACGTCCCATTGCTCTACCTGTTCGTCAACTGCATCCAACAACTACATCAAGTGCCTTGAGGTCTACTTTGAGGCAAGTGCCTTGGTTGAGTTCCTTCTGCACCTGTTTTTGCTTTCACTATTGATTGTCCAGATCTGTTTCCAAACCACTTTAATTCAATTTATGTTATATCAGTCCACTGCTAACTGTTTTTCCCCATCAAACTTAGCAAATGGCTTCTAGGATTCACTGGACTGATGCAATGGATGAAGCTTTCCTCACAGCCTACGTCAGTTTTCGGGAAAATAACATTTGGGACAACAGGAAGTCGCTAGAGACCAACTACGACATGTTGGCAGCCCATTTGGCGAGCAATCACATACTGACTGTGACTGGCCAGCAATTGCAGACCAGATTCTATTACATCAAGAAGAAATGGGACCTGTTCTGCAATCTGCGTGGGATTTCATCAAAGACAGAGACCGGGTTGGGTGGAGTGAGGACAGCTACTGTTTCACTGCTGATGATGAACATTGGGCCAACTTGGAGCAGGTATGGACTTGTCGCTTCCTGACTTCTGTTAATTGAATTTCTCTGTACTTCAGATTTGAAAGGTGACTTCAGATTCCCTATTGAACTAAAAGCTGAGCACTCAATCTTGTTTAAACTGCACTTGTTATTCTCACTTGTGTCTAATCCTTGATGTCTTTTCATCCTTGAGTTTGCCGGTGACTTCATCAAGTTTTATATGCTGACTCCACTTGTTATTCCATCTTTTTTTTTTCCGCAAAGTCTTGAGATGAGTTACGAATTGACGCTCAGTCATTACATCCTTATTAGATTGAATGATGAAAAGAACCTGTAATTTGGTCCACAACTCATAATATTCAATTCTGAAGCATGCTAGATTTGGGTTATAAAGGGTTATAAGGGAGGTTCCTGAATAATATATATTTTCCTTGTTAAAATAACTTGAATATTTAGAGTTTTCAGTAAGCGCATGAATTTTTTACTTTAAAAAAAAATACAGCTTCAATGAATTCGGATGACAACTCGAGTTACATCCCTTTTCATCCTCATTTTTAGTCTTTCTTGCTGAATCAGCTTTTTTGTCCATGTGTTTTGGAGACTTGGTTGTGTTTTCTGTTTCTTCACAAAGTAATCAGTGTGGCTTTGGATTCTTTTATCCTCTCTGTATGGGTTATATTGGAAGTAAGATGTGATAGTAGCAAATCAAGGCAGCATTAGTGAGTAAATTTATAAATCTGGGTTCTTGTTTCCATGATATGATTTACTTGAAGTTGGATTATCCTTCGCTTAGTTGACCATTCTTTTCTGGGCATTGTCATTAACTGGATTAGCTTTGATTGGATTATTTGACTGCAAAATGTGGTGGAATTTGCTCGGCTTAGCTGCTGGTGATTTGTCATTCACAACTCTTTGTTTAATATACAAAAAAATAGCTATCGACAAAGTTTTGGATCCTGGATTTAGCTATCGACAAAGTTAATTGAATTAGCATTTTCCTTGTTGAAATAACTCGAATATTAAGATATTTTCCTTGTACACTATCAATTCCTGTGTCTTGACTTCATATTTGCATTTCACCAGACCAATGCCTCGTACGTTGACTTCAAAAAAGAGAATTCATGCTACTGGTACGATCGGTTGACACCTCTACTGCTTGGAAGACATGCCACAGGCAGCCGTGCCCAGTCTGCAAGCGAGGTCGTTCATTTGGAACCGCCTCGCCGAGAACGGATCAACTCTGCTAGTAAAAGTCGAAAGGGAAAAGGTAAAGCCTCTAGCTCGAGGGTGCCTACTCCGGTGAACGTACCAGCAGTTGAGGATGACGACGACGTCTACTATGTTCCCCCAGTTCCTGGTGCAGTTGGACAAAAATGGTCAGCCTCAAGCCTAGGAACCAGTGGTGAACCTGAAGGGAGTAGAGGTTCAAAATCGACACGGTCATCTACTGGTCTTGAGGATGCTCTAAGCAAGATCGGGAATTACACCGACTTCGTTCTTGAGGACAGACGGAGTAGGTCGGAGTACGACTCCCTCCACGGCATAATGCAGTGCCAGGATGTGATCACCTCAATGGATATTCCGGACGAGTGGAGACTTGAAGCATGTGATCACTATGCCAAATATGAGAACGAGGGTGCAAGGATTATTTTTATTAGAGCTTCTGCAGCCGATCGCTACGGCTACATCCTGAAGTTGATGAAGGCGAAAGGCTTGGCCTAAGAACACTTTCTGTGGCATGCCACTTATGTGGAATGTTTGTACTATTAAAGTATTTACTGTCATGTTTTCAGTTTTAAAAAAACTTCAGAATGGGTAAGGAAAAGGTTCATATCAACATTGTGGTCATTGGTCACGTCGACTCTGGAAAGTCGACCACTACTGGTCACTTCATCTACAAGCTTGGAGGAATTGACAAGCGTGTGATGCAGAGGTTTGAGAAAGAAGCTGCTGAAATGAACAAGAGGTCATTCAAGTATGCTTGGGTGCTTGACAAGCTCAAGGCTGAGCGTGAACGTGGTATCACCATTGATATTGCCTTGTGGAAGTTTGAGACCACGAATGTTACTGCACAGGTACCTATTTGGATCAATCTGCCTACAATCCATACCAAAAGCAACAGGTACTGAATTGCAAATTGGATTATGCTTGAGATGGTAAATAACAACGTATTAACAAATACTTCTCTTGTCAAAGCTTTTCTATTCGTTTTAACTTCGCATTGAAAGAGTTGAGAGACTAACATCAAATATAAGTAGTATCAGTTTGTTGCATCTTTGATCTACATTTGAAATTAATTAGCAGTATCAAATAGCAGTCGTGAGAGTCTTAACCGATGAACTAAAAGAAGCAGGCCACTGGATTAATGTCGCCACCATTTAACTATTTGAAAGATTATTGCACCAGAAAAATAATCTGAACTTTTGTACTGTAATAATAATAAAGATTGGGGAAGAACTTTTGTAGGTTTGCTGCTTGCAGCATTAAATTAACCCATCATCTCATCCCATAAATATAATTCCTGGGTCAGTACCGAACGCTTTGTTTAGATCGACTTTTTTTTCTAAAAATTTTTTAAATATATTTTTCAATCTCTTTTTTCATCTCATATATATATCAAATTAAAGTAGTAATATATTTTTGTACGGAAATTTCGAGAAATAATAATAGTAATCCAAATGGTGGGCTAATCATCTCATATATATTTCATTCAAAGAAAAATCGTAATCAGTGATGGTGGGCCTCTACACTGACTCCAAAATCAGACGTCCTATGGCTAAAATTGTGGAACCTATCAACCAAACTCCTGAAAAGGACATGCATCAGAAATTTCCTACTATACACATAAATGAAAAATAAAAAAGAGAACGTACACGAAAATCTGTTAGATTTATCAAACAGTAGTGTTGATCCGATCTCAACAGTGCTTCTTTTGTAATTTAGAATCTATTCAACAAATATCAGAATTACTGCATACTGTGCAAGGCACGTACCCTCATACTAGTCCAAAATAAAAGACGCACGAATCTGAAGAAAGAAAGTTCCTGCAACGACAAAGTGGACACTTTGGTGGAAGTTCTCTAAAAACTCCAATGCAAATCAGCCAAAAAAATGTACGAAGACAAAAAAGTCTGCCAACACCGCAGTTTCCAAGCAATGCGCTCTCTTAAGCTTCTCCTATAGAGCGTGCGACCAAACCCGTTGTCTCCCTCAAATCCAGAGATAGGGACAAAAGTTTATTTTGTCAGGATTGTATCCGACCTTCTTCAAGTAGGAAGACACTTCCTTCACAATTTCATCATAACGTGCCTTGGAGTACTGACTATGGCATCCATCTAGGCAACAAAAAAGATTGAAGAGAAGTTAGAGATAAACAACAGGCCTGCAGTATTTGTGTTTAATATTACACCCCCAGGAGCTCACCTTGTTGCAGCAGCAAATCATTTGTCTCACACCAAGGGTGAAAGCAAGCAACGTGTGCTCTCGGGTCTGACCGTCCTTAGAAATACCAGCTTCAAAACCACCAGTGGTGGAAACTCATTCAAACTTCTCAATCTTCAATCCGACCATATATATATTGTTTCTCATGATCTTTCACATTCTTAGAATACACCAAAATGTCATCAATGAAAATCACCACAAATTGATCCAAGTAAGGCTTAAAAACCCTATGCATTAAATCCATGAAAGCGGCAGGTGCATTGGTTAACCCAAAAGGCATTACTGCAAACTCGAAGTGCCCATACCTCGAGTTAAAAGCAGTCATAGGTATGTCCTTCTCCAAAATCCTCAATTGATAGTAACCTTGTCTTAGATCCAACTTTGAAAATACTACCGCCCCTTGCAATTGATCAAACAGTTCATCGATGTGGGGTAGTGGGTATTTATTCTTAATCGTAACATCATTTAAGCCCCGATAATCTATACATAACCTCAAACTCCCATCCTTCTTCTTTACAAACAAAACTGGGGCTCCCCACGGGGAATCACTCTCCCGTATAAAACCTCGTTCCAACAAATCCTGTAATTGTAATTTCAACTCCTTCAATTCAGCTGGGGCCATCCTGTATGGTGTCCTTGATATAGGTGATGTTCCCGGAGCTAAATCAATTTTAAAAGCTATTTCCCGTTCCGGGGGTAGAGACTCCAATTCTTCAGGAAAAACATCAGAAAATTCTTTTACTACCAGTGTGTCCTCCAGACTCACCTTATCGCTAGGGGTATTAATAAGAAAAGCCAAATACCCTTGAGCTCCTTTACTTAACAACTTTCTAACCCGAATTCCCGAAATAAGTGCAGACGAGGCTAACTTACCCCTTACATCCAATTTCAAGGTTGCCTCCCCTGGAATACACAATTCTACAATTTTCGCCCTACAATTTAACTGAGCATTATAGCGGGCTAACCAATCCATCCCTAGGATCACATCATATCCTTTAATCGCTAAGCCTATCAAATCGGCCAGCAATTTTCTTTCCCTCACGCAAATTTCACTATTCTTATACACCATATTAGCAATTAGACTTTTGTCCCCAGTGGGTGTTTTAACCTCCAAGTCATATGGTAACTTAATTGGCTTCAAGTCTATTCCACTCATGAAATCAGGGTTTACAAAAGAGTGCGTTGCACCCGGATCAATTAAAACCCTAGCTAGGCGATGAAAGATTGGAATTGTACCTTCGACCACTTCGGTCGCATCTGGAGCTTGTGGATAGTCCAATGCGTAGACCCTAACCGGTACTTTCGGTCGACTCCCTCCGGCACTGGTCTGCTTAGAGGTTGATTTTTTCAGGCCTCTGCAGGCTTCCCCCTGCCTTCGACGATTTCGGACAATTCGCGATTTGATGCTCAGTGCTCCCACACAGCAAGCATTTTCCCAGCTTTCTCCAGCAGTCATTCTCAGAGTGGTTGGATTTACCACCATACCCACAAGTAACTTGAGGGGTCACAGTCGATCCAACAGATGGTGTTCCCCTAGCTTGAGTCGTCCCGCTACGACCTCCCCTAGATAGAGCTCCCCTAGAAGCTCCAGCAGTTCTCGTTCCTCCTTCTCCTCTTCCCTTTTTAGAAGGGTGTACAAACTTACTGGTCTGCCCAGTAGTGCGACTAGGAAAATTCCTTTTTCTATTGTGGAAATCCCTCACTTGAGATCTTGCATTCTCAACCCTTTGCGCTTTCTCTAAAGCCTCAGTAAAAGTAGAGATTTGGGCTGCAGCCAGGCCCTCCTGAAGTTCCACATTAAGTCCCTGTATGAACCTTCTAATCCTTCTCCGTTCATCGGCTACTAACTCAGGAGCGTATTTGGAAAGTTTAGTGAACTTCCCTTCATACTCTGCTACAGTAAGGGTTCCTTGTTTCAACTTAATAAATTCGTCCTCTCTTTTCTCTTGAATCAAGGGCGGAAGAAACTTTTCATTAAACTCCCTTGTGAAATTCTCCCAAGTCCAAGGGGTTCGAGCTCTTTCCCATTTTCCTTTTATCAAATCCCACCAAGCACGGGCTACTCCCTCAAATTGAAAAGCAGCAAAGTTCACTCGTCTATCTTCAGTATAGTCTAGAGCGGCGAATATGTTGGTCATCCTTTCTAACCAATTCTCCGCTACTTCGGGGTCAGGTTCACCCATAAACTTAGGCGGGTTAAACTTTAGGAATCTTTCCAGAGCTCTATCCTCTCCCCTATCCTGGGCCCCAGGTTGGTTAAATGGTCCAGGACCCTGTCTCTCCGCTAGACGTTCTAGGATATCAGTCATCCTATTGATGGCAGTAGCCACTTGGTTACCCTCAACGTTTTCCTGTCCCTGGGTCGGTCCAGTTGCCGAACCCTGGTCATCCCCCTGAGGTTGGGCCTGTCTAGACGCTCGTCCACGACCTCGACCACTCCTTAGTCCTTCCATTAGTCTAAAGGTGCCTAGTGCAAGGAAATAAATTAATTTAACCAGCAAACAAGAAATATATCGAAATTAGAACTAACCAAGAAAGCATTAAAATTAACAATAATTTACATTCATAAGCATGTCAAGTTCGTACAATTAGCAAGTTAGGGACAATTCACAAAATATAGCACACAGGTGCTCAGAAGTATACTTCTAGTCACAGAAGACTAAAGTAAGAACAAGTGCCCAAAAGTAGGCCACACAAGCATGCAAAATACAATGGCCTCAGCACTCGCGTCACCCTAACTAGTCCTAACTGTACCAGTCAAAAGTCAAAAGGGGTCAACGACCAAGATCCTAGTCCATAGCAGGGCTATCAGGAGGAACCTCCTCCTCGGGATCCTCCTCCGGATCCTTCTCCTCATCATCAGGAATCACCGCAGCAGCGTCCTCAACCAGACTAGTAGCATCAACCAGCATCTCGAAAGCCCGAGTACGGACATCTCGTGCTAACCTAATGAGTCGAGCCCTAGTATCCCGAAGCTCCTCATTAACCACTGCAGATGTGGCTACCTCACCCTCTAGCACCTCCTCAAGCTCAGCAATCTGCTCACCCTGAGCGCCCACCATCTGCCTAAGCTCATCTACCTCAGCCTGTAGATCTCGGTTGGCATCCACCAACTGACGACGCTCGTCGTCCAAAGCAAACACTAGATGGTTCGGGTAGGCGAAGGTCAACCTACACGAACATCGAGGGTATCTGTCATAGGGTGAGTAGCGTACGCGAGCTCCTCCTGCTATAGATCGGTAGTAGATAGTCCTAAGGGGCTCGTAATGACCATTCGCATGGCCATTCC